CCACTGCCACCCAATAAGCATGCTGTGTAGGCAACTAATTAGGGATGTTGGTTTGATAGGCCCAGATGTTGCAGCCTAGCTGTAAACCGCAACGCAGGGTGCCAACAGCCCTTTTAAAGGCAAACGCATAATTTTTACAAAGGGTATTTTCTAAGGATCTAACACATGTCCCGTGATATGTAAGATGTACAATCGTGGTCCCCTGCTAACAGTTGCATCTATAAGTAATAGTAATACTGTAAGTTGCACACAAGAAATAAGAGAACTCGCCACATGATTTATTTGAAAGTAAAAATACATTACACTCAAAATAAACAAACACGAAGAAATATAATCATTATAACAGCAGCTTTAAAAATATCCACTTACCCAATATATAAGGTATTTATAAAATATGGAATAGCAAAATAAAAAAAAAAAAAAAGTATTAATGCATACTGTATAATTAGCACCACAGGGAAATTGCTCCCTCACAGGTTTGATAGAATATTAAGTTCTTTCTTAGAAAGGCCGAATCAGATCAGATCCTTGCGTCATTGTTGGGACAAAATTTATTGTTCTTTGAAGCCCCACCCTGGCTTTTGCCAGGGGCTGCAATATAGGCAGGCCATAAATATGGTCAATTGTCTGAACGCGATTTCTGGGACCTCTCCACGGTGATCCTCATCCACATGGTGGCACTTTGTGTCATCGGGTGTTTGTCACTTGTGTGATGTTCTGGTGGGGTAGAAAGTCAGTCAGTCAGTCAGAAAGGCCAGAAATGGTTAAAACAAGGCTCACTTCCATAGAAAGTTCTCTAAATGTTATTGCTGAACACCATTGTAGACTCATACCTTGATTATATGGAAGATGGTTTGACTATTGTCTAGCTGCTAAAAAATCATTATTTTTTTTATGAACTGTCCACTGTGGAAATTGAACCTTAGTGCATCAAGGATCGGGAAATTCTGAAACCTCACCGACCTCCGAGTTAGACAACATCTTTCAGCATGTCCCGTAATTGTCCGTACATAAGAAAAAAAAACTGCACCAACCCCATTACAAAGTAAACTCCATCTGTGCTTGTACGTATTCTTCGGCATGGCAGGGCACGCATTGAAATGTGTGTTTTTTTGGTTTTTTTTTTTTTAACTTATGAGAAACCTTGTATTATTGCAGAAGGTCAAATTGTGGTAGTTGTAGAGTAAATGAAGACACCAGTTGTGCTACTTTTTCTCAGCTCCTGAGGCAAGACGGACGTTTATTCAGAATACTACTGGCACCATTAGTATCGGAGCTCTTCACTGGCTGCTGAAGATTGGGACGGGGCGCTTATGAAAATGCCCTGAGTGCTCTGATGTCGGTTCTTGTATCAACTCAACTAAATTCTCAGCTCCTTAAGCATCTGTTTTCAAGTAAAGTAAAAAAGTAAGTGAAGGATCTTTTTCCATGTCTTCAGGCGTATCAAGCACATGGATCTGTGTTTTATAGACCAATCAGCACTTGGTGGGTGATGTGGTCAGCATCACATCGGCCACGTTTACTTCTTAGCACTTGTACCTGGTACCCACTCAAGGCTGGGTCGACCTGGGAGCCAAGGTCCTTTTTTTTTTCATCTAGCTCAGTCAGGACCCGAAACTACGACCTTCCACAGGGGACCGACTAGAGGCTACACCGCAGCGACTCTCTTATCTGTTTTTAAAATAGTTCTTCTTGTGAATGCACTTGTGGATAAAATAACCGGTATTACTTCCTGAAGATAATTAATAAACGCTGATTTCAAATAAATTATATTGGTGTAAATTATAATTTCTCAGCCAAATTCTAGCAGGTTTTGTAAGCTTTAAGTATGTTGCAAGGGACATATTCAACTATGTCCTAACTGGAGTCATCATCATTAATTGGCAGGTCTTCTACAGAATGTTGCTCTCTTCAAGGCACACCTGAAAGTCTCTCATTTAATCTCAAGATAAATATGGCACTGTTGCTGAGAGAACATGTCTGCTATTTTTAAAAGAAAGTTCATGAAATTTTGCATAAAATACAATGAATAATTTAAAAAATGTTAGCAGTTTGCAAGTAGTCAACTGTATCTAAGGCATTTTAAAACAAATGAATATTGCAAGAAGGGGTGAATGCACAATGCAGGCAAAAACCAACAGATTGCTTTGAAATCATACACACACAACATATATATATAAATATATGTAAATATACCATTGAAAAATTGCATATTGAAAGTAATGAAAAGTAATTAAATATATCTTTGACTGGTCTATTGCAAAATAAAAATAATAATAAAAAACAGTGTTAGTAGCTCATAATTGTAAAATACAGTTACTATGAGTATGTATACTGCATGTTAAAATGGCACAATGAAAAGAATATCATAAAGATTCAAATTTTAAAACAAATGCATGTGTTAGTAGTTTTGTTAAATCAATCTTTTGCTGAGCAAATTATTTCATGCATGTCTTTCAGCTGTAAGCAAAGAATTATATGTGACTGCTTTTTTTGTATGAATCACAAACATAATGTATGTATTCTTGTACTTTTTGAATGTGGTAAGAGTATACTTTAAAAAATCTGGCTTTCATAGTGGCCACCTCCACTCTGTTTTTTTTGGCTAATAGTAAGTAATCTTCTTCTTCTTCGTCAGCGTTTTGAGCCCTTGAAGTGCATTGCTGCAGATATCACCCGCCTCCATTCATCTCTCTGGTTGGTCTTCTCTTTCCGGTTAATGACACCAAGTGTTTGCAGGTCTGTCTGGACATTATCTCTCCATCGTCTTCTTGGTCTGCCTCTTGGTCTATGACTATTTAGCTCCCTTGTGTAGTTTTTACCTCTCTGTCATGTGACATTCTCTCAATATGCCCAAGCCATTTCAGTCTATTAGATCTCATGATGCCAATGATCATTGGTGATTTAAACAGATTAGGAATTTCTTTGTTGCTTCTCACTCCCCATTCCCTGCTGTTTGCATCTTTGATATGTCCAAGATTCTTCATAATAATCTGTTTTTGATTTTAACAGCATGTTTTGTTGTGTTGCATAAGCCACCACCAAGTGTTTACTGGTCTGAAAAAATATGTGGTTGGCGTCACACCTAATATGATTAAGGCTTGAAAAGATCTTTTACTGTGTCGATAACGGCTATGAAACTTCCTGCACTAAGAAGTAGAATGTGTTATCAGTGCTTTATGTTCCCTAGAGTTAAGTTCATATCCTTCCCCGATGTGGGTTCTGGGGTCCCACAATGGGGAAAACAAGAATACACCCACTGCCTCCCCAACAAACATGTCGTAGGAGTCAACTAATTGGGGGTTTTCTTCAGTCAGAGTGCATCTGCCTGAGAGGTAAGAAACCAACAGTCTGCATACAAATAAGTCAGATCTATAAAACGGATTTGCACACAACACTCATAATCTGAAACAAGTCTAGAGGTGGATGAACAACCAGAACTTTCAGCCACAATTTGGAATACAGTGTTGTTCCGCTTGACTTCCTGTTATACTGCTTCTTGAGTTAAGGGAGTTTCTTCTTTTTCGGTTTACTGCCTGTAAACTCTAGGCGGAAAGTTCTGGATGTTCCTCCACTTCTAAACTTTGATCTTGTTCCAGAACCTGAGTGTTGCATGCACATCAGTTTCACAGATCTGGCTTATTTGTATGCGGACTCTTGGTTCCTTGCCTCTCAGGCAGATTTGCTCCAACTTCAAAGGATGCCCCCAGTTAAAAGAATCCTGACTCCTGCGACATGCTTGTTAGGGAAGCAGTGGGTCTGTTCTTGTTTTCCCCCTTGTGGGACACATGGACCCACACGGAAAGAAGTAGTTACAATGTTCTGGTTCTTGTTCTTTTGGTTGCCTCAGCCATAAACACATCCTACTGGTGTAGAGTTTCCTTGGTGTTATCTTTCAATTCATTCTTGGTAAATCAAACTATATTTCCCTCGGCTCTGTTGATGCATACATTCAGGGGAAGGGCTATTTAACTGATGGCCCGCGGGGCGAATCCAGCCCTCAGAAGCAAGTGGCCCGCGGAAAGTTGTAAAATGTATTGTTTTAGTGACTTTTCAATGCTGGGACTGGGGGGCTGCGTGATCTCGAGGCATGGTGTCCGCCTCGAGTGCTAGAGGTTCTGTATTCAATCCTTAGTAAGGGCTGGGATTTTTTCACGTGGACTTGGACTTCTAATAATTTCCCCTGGTCTCTGGATCGTGAGATCAGACGCCTGCGCGGTCATTGTTGTGCACATAACAAAATCCCCTGGCAGTTGGAACTCTAAAAGAGTAGCCTATCAGCGCTGCCCGGGCAAAATTTGGAGTTAAAAATCTACCCAAAGTATTTCAGGATCCTCGGGTTCTTTTGTGACTAAAATTTAAAAATAAACATTTTTAAACTTAATTTTTTCAAGTTTTTTTTTTTCAAGACTCGAACTTGAGTAAGAAGAAAGAACGGAGCACTTCTGGGTTACTTACTACCCATGAGTTATGACGTTGATTTGTTGTTCAAACTTCAAACTTCAATACTGGGACTCAGGCTCCAGCTCAGCGACTATCCCCATTTTGGTCATTGAGTAAACTTGCTTGAATAGCTTTCTTCTATGGTATGAGCGTATGACATCATAGGGTGCTCTTTTATTTGCTGTGTTACGTGTCACACAGGTTGAGAATGTAAATTTCTGTTAATATGTTCATTTCTGATAATCACATTTCAGTAAGCCTGCCGTACATGTGAAATAGCATTCTGATATGGGAACTGATAGTTATGCACAGAAGGAAGCAGATGAGTTTATGAGAAGAAGAAACAAGTGTCTTGATTTACTAAAAATGTATGCAAAACAAGTTACTAAATTTTCATTACTATTCAGTGTGAAAAAAACATTTTTTTTCCCTCCTCAATATCAGAATAAATGATTGAAATTTAATTAAAAATTATACAATATTAATCCTAGCTTCATCATAGCAATGAGTTTTTATAACACATATAAAAAGCCATTTGAAACTGAAGTTTTTCTTGTTTAGCGAATTAGCTGTACAATTAGGAAAATTCCTCCAAGACCATAGAGGACGGTGCCTGCGATCGCAATGCCCATTGACCATCCAATGTTTCCATTCACTCCCTGTATGTTTTCTTGGTTTGAGTGTGAGCCGAACAGGGCAAAGCCAATGCAGGCAAAGAGAACTGAAAAAAGAAGAAAAAAAAATGCATTACGGTTCGCAGTACCAGAGGACAATAGTCGAAATGAAAACATTATGACTGACATTTAAAGCGGCAATTAATATAAATAGACAGAGATAAAATATTGCTTCACTTTTGTCAAGCATCAGGAGCCACAGTGACCTAGCAGCAGGATGCTCTGTCTCTAATCCAAAGGTTGTGGGTTCGAATCAGCATCGTCAGATTTTTAAAATGAGCCTAGCATCATATACCTGAGGCACCACTGGCGGGAGAAGGGACCTTGACTTGACTTTATCACTCGTGCCCTTGACTTGACTTTATCACTCGTGTTCTTGACTTGACTTTATCACTCGTGTCCTTGACTTTATCACTCGTGCCCTTGACTTGACTTTATCACTCGTGTCCTTGACTTGACTTTATCACTCGTGTCCTTGACTTGACTTTATCACTCGTGTCCTTGACTTGACTTTATCACTCGTGTCCTTGACTTGGCTTTATCACTCGTGTCCTTGACTTGACTTTATCACTCATGTCCTTGACTTGACTTTATCACTCATGTCCTTGACTTTATCACTCGTGTCCTTGACTTTATCACTCGTGTCTTTGACTTGACTTTATCACTCGTGTCCTTGACTTTATCACTCATGTCCTTGACTTGACTTTATCACTCGTGGACTTGACTTTATCACTCATGTCCTTGACTTGACTTTATCACTCATGTCCTTGACTTGACTTTATCACTCGTGTCCTTGACTTGACTTTATCACTCGTGTCCTTGACTTTATCACTTGTGTCCTTGACTTGACTTTATCACTCGTGTCCTTGACTTGACTTTATCACTCGTGTCCTTGACTTTATCACTCATGTCCTTGACTTGACTTTATCACTCGTGTCCTTGACTTGACTTTATCACTCATGTCCTTGACTTGACTTTATCACTCATGTCCTTGACTTGGCTTTATCACTTGTGTCCTTGACTTGGCTTTATCACTCGTGTCCTTGACTTGACTTTATCACTCGTGTCCTTGACTTTATCACTCGTGTCCTTGACTTGACTTTATCACTCGTGCCCTTGACTTGACTTTATCACTCATGTAACATTTGTTTCTCTTTGATATCCCTAACACCAGCTGTCATTTGGTCACTGATTTATTGTTGACTGTTTCTTCTTCTTCTTCCTCGCGTTCACCATTTGTTAACTCTGATGGTAAGTTCTTGGTGTTCGTCCACTTCTAGACTTTAGTCTTGTTCCGGAACTTGAACTTGTGTACATCTGTTTGACATATCTGGCTTATTTGTATGCAGACTGTTGGTACCTTGCATTTGGGAAGATGCACCTCAAAGCAACTTCCTAATTAGCTGAATCTTACAACATGTTTGTTAAGGAAGCAGTGGGTCTATTCGAGTTTTCCCCACAAATGGGGCATCAAAACCCACAGGAGGAGGTTGACTGTTTGATCATCTCTTTCTAATTCTGGTGATCAGAGGTGCTGAACTTGATGTTTGTATATTTAAGGCCCTGCCGAACTTGATGTTTGTATATTTGAGGCCCTGCTGAACTTGATGTTTGTATATTTGAGGCCCTGCTGAACTTGATGTTTGTATATTTGAGGCCCTGCTGAACTTAATGTTTGTATATTTGAGGCCCATCCATTCTAGCAGAATTGCTTGCCATAAATTGAAATACCTGATCTTCCCGTGTGGGTTCCGGGACCACAGTTTTGGAGGAAAGAAACAGACCAACTGTTTCCTAACAATCAGGTTGTAAACAGCGACTAATTAAGTCTGTTTCTTTTGAAATCAGAGTGCATCTGCCTGAGATTGAGGAACTGACAGTCTGCACACAGAGAAACCAGATCTGTAAAATGAATGTGCAAATAAGCTCAAGTTCTGGAACACAACACAAGACTAAAGTCCAGAAGTGGACAAACGACTAGAACTTTCTGCTGGAGATTACAGCCAGTAAATGCTAATAATAATAATAATAAAAATAATAATAAGAAGAAGAAGACGACGAAGAAAGAAAGAAATACCTGATCAAACAACAACATTAACAGTTGATATCAGATTTAGGACCCAGGTATGTCTTAGTCTTCCTCGTCTCTTCTTCTCTTGTACCAAGCTCTAGAATGGTTTTGAAAGACCAGTAGATCTTACATAATGTGGCTGTTGAGGTTAATAGCCCAGAGAGCAGCTCTCACAATTCTCCATGTACTACCAGGGTTTGACTCTGCACAGGGCTCTTTTTTAAAAGATTGTGGCTTTCAGGAAACGGTATGAGAGTTGTATCGTGGAAGCCTCACTATGCAGTAACATTCCAAAAGACAGCAATGGATGCATTATAGCCAGACTCCATGGTGGAGACTTTGAATTATTTAAATATTTTGATCTGATTTGGTGTCAGCAATATTGTATTCTGTGTATTTTTTATTGTGAACATCACTTATTTTTTTTCTTCTTTTTGTTCTTCTCTTGTCGTCTCACTGATACCAGGCTGTATTCCCAGTGATTTGGTTTTCTGTATTTGTTTTGCTTCTTGGATGGCTTGGGTGATGTACCAAAGATGTTATATAAGCACATTGACCACTGCTTAAAGACTTCATATCAACAAACAATTGTAAATGCTCTTTGAAAAATAAATTTAAAAAAATAAAACCTGGCTCTCTTGGGATGAATAGCTTTAAAGAAATGAAGATCACAACACAATGAAAGATCCTCTCGCCTTCCTCCCACATCTTCTTCTGTAAAAAGTCTCACATGGTTAAATTTTTACTAGATGGCTGAACCATTTCATTCTTATCCATGCAATAAAAGATCCTTACAACTTCCCCTTTACCAACATTTACAGGCAACAGGAGGAATACAGGACGTGGAGGAAGGGGGGACATGGAGGAAGGGAGGATGTGGAGGAAGAGAAGATGTGGAGGAAGAAAAGACGTAGAGGAAGAGAAGACGTGGAGGAAGAGAGGACGTGAAGAAAGAGATGGTGTGGAGGACATGGAGGAAGAGAGGATGTAGAGGACGTGGAGGAAGAGAAGGTGTGGAGGAAGAGAAGATGTGGAGGACGTGGAGGAAGACAGGACGTGGAGGAAGAGAGAACGTGGAGGAAGAGAGGACGTGGAGGAAAAGAGGACGTGGAGGAAGAGAAGATGTGGAGGAAGAGAGGACGCCGAGGAAGAGAGGACGTGGAGGAAGAGAAGATGTGGAGGAAGAAAGGACGTGGAGGAAGAGAAGATAAGGAGGAAGGAAGGACGTGGAGGAAGAGAAGACGTAGAGGAAGAAAGGACGTGGAGGAAGAGAAGATGTGGAGGAAGAGAAGATGTGGAGGAAGAGAGGACGTGGAGGAAGAGAGGACGTGAAGGAAGAGAAGGTGTGGAGGAGGACATGGAGGAAGAGAGGATGTAGAGGACGTGGAGGAAGAGAAGGTGTGGAGGAAGAGAAGATGTGGAGGACGTGGAGGAAGAGAGGACGTGGAGGAAGAGAGGACGTGGAGGAAGAGAGAACGTGGAGGAAGAGAGAACGTGGAGGAAGAGAGGACGTGGAGGAAGAGAAGATGTGGAGGAAGAGAGGACGTCGAGGAAGAGAGGACGTGGAGGAAGAGAAGATGTGGAGGAAGAGAGGACGTGGAGGAAGAGAAGATCAGGAGGAAGGAAGGACGTGGAGGAAGAGAAGACGTAGAGGAAGAAAGGACGTGGAGGAAGAGAAGATGTGGAGGAAGAGAAGATGTGGAGGAAGAGAGGACGTGGAGGAAGAGAAGACGTGGAGGAAAAGAAAATGTGGAGGAAGAGAGGACGTGGAGGAAGAGAGGACGTGGAGGAAGAGAAGATGTGGAGGAAGAGAAGACGTGAAGAAAGAGAAGACGTGGAGGAAGAGAAGACGTGGAGGAAGAGGACGTGGAGGAAGAGGACGTGGAGAAATAGAGGACGTGGAGGAAGAGAAGAAGTGGAGAAAGAGAAGACGTGGAGGAAGAGAAGATGTGGAGGAAGAGAGGACATGGAGGAAAAGAAGATGTGGAGGAAGAGAAGATGTGAAGGAAGAGAAGATGTGGAGAAAGAGAGGACGTGGAGGAAGCGAAGATGTGGAGGAAGAGAAGACGTGGAGGAAGAGAAGATGTGAAGGAAGAGAAGATGTGGAGGAAGTGAGGACGTGGAGGAAGAGAAGACGTGAAGGAAGAGAGGACTTGGAGGAAGAGAAGACGTGGAGGAAGAGAAGATGTGGAGGAAGAGAGGACGTGGAGGAAGAGATGATATGGAGGAAGAGAGGACGTGGAGGAAGAGAAGACGTGGAGGAAGAGAAGAGGTGGAGAAGGAGAACGTGTGGAGGAAGAGAGGACGTGGAGGAAGAGGGGACGTGGAGGAAGAGGGGACGTGGAGAAAGAGAAAATGTGGAGGAAGAGAAAATGTGGAGGAAGAGAAGATGTGGAGGAAGAGAAGACGTAGAGGAAGAGAAGACGTGGAAGAAGAGAAGACGTGGAGGAAGAGAGGACGCGGAGGAAGAGAGGACGTGAAGGAAGAGAAGACGTGGAGGAAGAGAGGACGTGGAGGAAGAGAGGACGTGGAGGAAGAGAGGACGTGGAGGAAGAGAAGATGTGAAGGAAGAGAAGATGTGGAGGAAGAGAAGATGTGGAGGAAAAGAAGATGTGGAGGAAGAGAAGATGTGGAGGAAGAGAAGAGGAAGAGAAGATGTGGAGGAAGAGAAGACGTGGAGGAAGAGAGGACGTGGAGGAAGAGAAGACGTGGAGGAAGAGAGGACGTGGAGGAAGAGAGGACATGGAGGAAGAGAAGATGTGGAGGAAGAGAAGATGTGGAGGAAAAAAAGATGTGGAGGAAGAGAAGAGGAAGAGAAGACGCGGAGGAAGAGAAGATGTGGAGGAAGAGAAGAGAAAGAGAAGACATGGAGGAAGAGAAGACGTGGAGGAATAGAGGACGTGGAGGAAGAGAAGACGTGGAGGAAGAGAGGACGTGGGGGAATAGAAGACGTGAAGGAAGAGAAGAGGAAGAGAAGACGTGGAGGAAGAGAAGACGTGGAGGATTAGAGGACGTGGAGGAAGAGAGGACGTGGGGGAATAGAAGACGTAAAGGAAGAGAAGACGTGGTGGGAGAGAAGATGTGGAGAAAGAGAAGAGGAAGAGAAGACGTGGAGGAAGAGAAGATGTGGAGGAAGAGAAGATGTGGAGGAAGAGAAGATGTTAAGGAAGAGAAGATGTGGAGAAAGAGAAGACGTGGGGGAAGAGAAGAGGAAGAGAAGACGTGGAGGAAGAGAAGACGTAGAGGGAGAGAAGATGTGGAGGAAGAGAAGATGTGGAGGAAGAGAAGACATGGAGGAAGAGAAGATGTGGAGGAAGAGAAGACGTGGAGGAAGAGAAGATGTGGAGAAAGAGAAGATGTGGAGAAAGATAAGATGTGGAAGAAGAGAAGTTGTGGAGGAAGAGAAGATGTGGAGAAAGATAGGACGTGGAGGAAGAGAAGACATGGAGAAAGATAAGATGTGGAGGGAGAGAAGACTTGGGGGAAGAGAAGACGTGGAGAAAGATAAGATGTGAAGGGAGAGAAGACATACAGGAAGAGAAGATGTGGAGGAAGAGAAGATATGGAGGAAGACAAGATGTGGAGGAAGAGAAGACGTGAAGAAAGAGAAGATGTAAAGGGAGATAAGACATGGAGGAAGAAGAATCAAAAAACAAAAACAGCTAAACAACAAATCTTACTCCCAGCAAATGTTATAGCAGTAGTAGCCTGCAGGAAGTCTCTCCGTCTGCAGGAGTCGGCACACAGATACAGCAGCAGGATCACAAGGGATATGATGTAACCAATCAAACCTAGGCATTCCATGGCCTGTATGGCACGGTGGTAGTCTGCAAATGAACAACAGTATTAAACAACGGATCCTCTCCACACCCTGACACATGGGAAACTGACAAATATTTTGTATAGACCAATTAGTACTCATTGCCATGCCCCAAGCAGTGGTGAGGACAGAGGAGGGTTGGGTGTAAGGTGGGCTCGCCACATCTTTAAAAAAATTATTTGCTACAGAAACTGAAAGGAAAGGATGAGATTCCGGTAAACAAATAAATCCCATGGTGCACAGGGTGTATCTATGACGGTCAAGTAATGGCACATCCATGCAATCAATGAATCAGCATCCATTGATCATGTGATCAATATTATGTCTAGCTGCCTCTAGTTTCCAGAAAATGCCTTGCACTCGGTTTAGGCTGAGTCAGTCTGAGAGCCCTGTATCTCAGGGGTAGGGATACAGAGTCATAGTCACCTTTCTGATATGGGTCACGCATGGCACTTTTGACCAGTGGCCAGTACTGGACCTGTTATATCAACTGCTGCGTCTGCCACATAATCTGTTTGATGGCTACCTCAAGCAACCACATCATCTGACAAAAATATAAAAAAAAATAAAAGGACCCTGTCAAAAATAAATGAATTTTCCATGTTAATGTCAGGAATGCCAGTGAAATTTGACTAGTTAAACGAACGTGCACAAAACAACAAAAATTAAGTTTTGGTCGGCAGCCTGTGTAAAACATGAAGTGAACTACACAAATGTAACAAAGAGGAGAGTATTCGGATCTCTCCAGGTTAATGTCTGAGTGGAAAGAAAAAAGGAAATGCATAGTCCGTATAATAGAGGGCTCTAATAGTCGAGGCTTACAGAAAGACTGACAAGTAACAGATAGACACAAACTGTGTATATAAAAAAAAGTTGAATGGGAGTAGACGATGAGACAGACTAAGAAGATGGTGATGAGATTATATACAGGCAGATGTACAAACTTGAAGTCAACGACCTGGAAAAAGAAGGTCAGTCACAAAGATGAATGCAGCCAGGTCATATCTGCAGCAGTGAATCTTAAGGACTTGAAATGCTGAAAGAAGCAGAAAATTAATGACATTCCTAGTGGCATTGAGTCTGAATATGGCCATTTTTTTTTGGGGGGGGGGGGGGGGGGGGGGGGGGGGGTTATTTCGAAATCATACCATTGATTTTTATGGTTCAAGTTCACTTGTTCTTTGAGGATGGTCAGTGTAATAATGTTTAACAGCTATACGGAACACATAAATTCAATTTAAATCATAAAAATATTGAAAATAAATCAATTTTAAAGCATAAGATAAAGAAAATTAGTAAAATAATAATTATATACTGTTCACCCTATATATCCAAATATACCTACTGTCCCCACCTTTACAAGCATGTCGTACAAGGCTACTAATTAAGAAAGTTTCTTCCAGAGTACATCTGCCTAAGAAGCAAGAATCAATTATCTGCATACAAAGAAGCCAGATCTGTAAAATGGATGTGCGCACACAACTAAAGTCCAGAAATGGATGAATTACCCAAACTTTTCGCTGATTGTACAGCTGGTGAACCCCGTGAAGAAGAAATGTGGTCTTAAGCTGTCATTGACTGCTTCAGTTCATTTTCTTCCAGGTCTTTCTCTGCACAGTTGTGTTTCCCTTTTTCAGTTGTGCCCTCTCGGTGTCAGCATCATCGGATTCAATCTCGCTAAGGGACAGAACCATTTCACTCTTTGTTTCTCACTAAATTTTATTATGGGTATTTATTTTCAAATACTTCTTCTAATCTCTTTATTTATTTTGTGATCTTTTCTGGTCTCATCTCTGTTATTAATCTATCAAATGAATTGTTCCCTCTGGGCTTCTACTCAAAATTTTAAAAAGTTCAGTCTGTGTGAAAGACCAACAGTGAAGAACCCGATTATTAGCAGTAGTATATTTTACCCCACCAGAGAATCACACAGAGCGATAAACACCCAGTGATACAAAGTGCCACCTTACGGATGAGAACCACCCGCAGAGAGGTCCCGGAAACCGCGTTGAGTCGTTAGGCCATATTTGGCTATATTCCGAATAACAGTCCCAAATATACCCTAACAGGGCCTCAGTCACGTGACAATTGCTACTTCCGGGAACTATACCGCCGCCGCAGAATCGCGAACTTCCGGCAACCTCCGCTCCCGCCGAGAGAATCCCCCGCCGCCTGTCCGGTACGCCGCTAACGCGGCGTGGATTAGGGCTAAACAAGATGGCTAGAACTCACGAGCAAATAAAGTGATGGCAGCTGCAGGAAGTGTGGTAGCTGCTGCTCGTGAGTCCCAGCCATCTAGTTTAGCCCCAGTCCATGCCGCGTAAGCGGCGTGGGGGACACTAGGCGGGGGGATACTCTCAGCGGTGGCGAAAGTCGCCGAAAGTACGCAATTTAAGTCGCCGGAAGTGCGCAATTGACAGATGACTGAGGCCCTGTTAGGGTATACTTTCTGCCTCGATAATTTGGGACCGTTATTCGGAAGACAGCCGCCTTGTTTTATTGCGGCCCCTGGCAAGAGCCAGCCTGGGACTTCAAAATAACTAAACATTGCATCCCACAAGGGGATGACGAAAGTATAACATCCCCGATATCTAGTTGAACCTTTTGGTGGATGCAGGTTGTATTGTTTAACACTAGTAACATTCTTATAATTGTAACATTGTAATGTAGTAACATTAATTACCACCGAAAACATAGTTCAGTTACATTTATAAAGTGAGACATGCATATTACCATTAAGATAATAAAGACTATAAGTTGTGCAATGTTGATTGTTTCTACAAACATAACTCTGCCACAGCCCATTATTTTGATAGTCGTTTCTTAGACCACGGTGATGGTAGACAACCCAGGAAGTTGTAGCAAACCCAATCACAAACAGAAGAAGGCCAATGGCGAAGCTAATGATGGCGCCCTTCAGCCATACGGATGCTGTGCGTAAAATGATAGCCATTGATATGTTGATCTCGCTGACGAAGCAGAATCACCTGTGGATTAGACAAACATGTTGTATATTCTTACAGTAACTATTAGTAGCAGTAATCGTAGCAGCATCAGTAGTAGCAGTAGCAGTAGTAGTAGCAGCAGCAGTAGTCATATCAGCCGCAGCAGAAGCAGTAGTAGTAATCAGGGTCGTTTTAGGATTATGACACCCGTGAGCAGTCATTTAGTTTATGCAGCCGTTTGTTTTTTTTTTTGCAGTACACAGTACCATGGGCACGGGATATAGGTGACTCCTTGAATGTGAAAAGTGCATGAGGCGGGAGAACTGACGAGAGACCGAGTTTCTTTCAGGCAGACTGTGATGAGAGCGACGTTCTGCAAAGGACCTGCTACATGATGATGATGACACAGTACCACCACCTTTTCCAGGCATCCTGTTTTTAAGTACTCTGTAAAAGACACTATGTGATGAGTACCGGGACCTTTTTTTGGAAGCTTTCTGGTGAATACTGGCACTGTTTTCCCCAGAAAAAAAGCCCCGTATGCTCCCGTTTCCCTCGGTTAAATAGCATCATTATTAGTTTCCCGACTACCAACAATAGGGTGTAGAATTATTTTGTAAAGTAGAAGTCTCCCCCCCCCCCCCTTTTTTTTTTCAGGCCAAGTGGGCATATAGGGCTAGACCTATATTGTATAGACCAATCAGCACTCGGTGGGTGATGTGATCATGGTCATTTTGAAAGAAGTTGGGGCCCGACCCCACAACCTTTTGACCAGTCGTTATGGCTAGGGTGTTCATAATATCTTTAGTTAAAAATGGGAATTCCCCGTAATATTTTGAGCTGAAAACGAGACACGTAAGTTTAACCCTGTCCTCGCCTGTTTTTTTTTTTTTTTTTATGTCATTGGAGCAAAAGTAATAAAGATCCCTTTTCACGCCTTTAGGCACATCGGGCATATGGGAAGAGTACCCATATTTTTACAGAACAATCAGGCACTAGGTGGTGTAATGTGGTCAGCATTACGCCGGCCGTCTTTACTTTTCCATGATATACATCCTGGTTCCCATTTTAGGCTGGGTTGACCTGCTTCGCCTGATACCATGATGAAAATCCACGCAGCCTGCAGTGGGTCTCGATCGCGGTGCGTTAGAATTACGAGTCGGATCGCAACGCCTTAGCCACGGACGCCGCTAGGTCACCGTGGTGAATGGGTTAATTACTTGCTCGATGCTGGTTTTAGAACCTGAACCATTGCATCCAAGAAATAAACAATATGCTCTGTACTGCAGTAAAAAAAAAATGTTACAATGAAAATTATCACCAATACATTTCAAGCATCAAAAGTATCAAAACAGTGAAATCTAATACGGTCTGCAGATTTAAACTGAGCTTGTAGCGCGGTGATTTATGTCACAGGCGTGAGGGAAAGTTAAGTCCAACATGATGTGTATAAGGAGATACTCCGTACGTCACTCGGGCGCCAGTCCTTCACTATCCTGGTTGTACGGAACCTCACGCAAGACCCCTGCAGCACGTCCTCGTCGTGCGCCCCGGATAATGTCTCAAATGAGCATTAACAGAGCTGTCAGGGGATCTCGAAGTTTGGCGGCCCCCAGAGGTGATGTGTCCTTGTGGCTCTTATCAGCCAGCCCCAAACGCTTGGATGAAAAAGGTTATCAAAACTTATTAGGAACATGAGTATGTTTGCCAAAAGAACAGCTAAAATTACAACCCTTGGTTAAAAGATTGCGGAGTGAAGAGAACATTGTTCATTGTACATCCTCTGTTAACCCTCAGTGTCGTCATCACCGCGCTGAGGTACACCACTACAGCAACCATCCATAGGCTGGCCATCCATGTACATTCTCGGTTAACCCTCTGTGTCGTCGTCACCGCGCTGAGGTACACCACAACAGCAACCATCCATAGGCTGGCCATCCATGTACATCCTCGGTTAACCCTCTGTGTCGTCGTCACCGAGCTGAGGTACACCACTACAGCAACCATCCATAGGCTGGCCATCCATGTACATCCTCGGTTAACCCTCTGTGTCGTCGTCACCGCGCTGAGGTACGCCAAGACAGCAACCATCCATCGGATGGCTAAGCCTAAATGTCCGACAAAACTATGGCGCACGAGCAAGCTCAAAATCTGACCATCACAATTTGTATTGAACGAAAAAAGACCAAATGTCCACACACAAAGACCCCACTCGCCCAAACTGATAACGATATGCCTGACGCAGGATATAAAATTCTGTCGGGCTAACGGCTCGTCAAAGAAATGTACCTATTCGTGTGGTCACAAAGGTCCAAAACCCACGGGCTTCTCCCCGCTGACTTCCAGAGGGCGCAGCCCTTGTCGAGCGGGAGGCCTAATACGGTTGTGAGGTTAAGCAGGCATGTGCAGGACGTGACGATTCCTTGAGTGAGCCCAGGATCAGAGCGCCATGTGCCGGCTCTGCATACATGGAAGCCTCCTTGGATGGCGGGGAATGCCCATGATCTGCCCCCGCCTTCCCTTGAGGGCTAACCGTTCCACAAGGGGCTGCCCCAAAGGGGTACTCCGGGGGCAATACCTGCGGAGGAGACAAAGTTGACACCATACAAATCAGGCAACGTCTCGACCCACACAAAAACAATGGCCACAGTCATCCTAGAAATAGGCCCGACGTCTTCCTTCGAAGTCGAAGTACAGCTTCCCATGAGGCAGGGAACAGTAAAACGGTTGTACACGCAAAAATCATGTCCAGGTGAAAGCCAAAAGTCCAAGCGGACGATTAACCGGGACCTTCCGCCGGAATTCACAGCCGGTGAACGATGGGGAAAAAAAAAACTGAGCTTCCCCGTATGGGTTCGGGGGTCCTGTTATAGGGAAAACAAGAATAGACCCTCTGCCTACCCAAAAGCATGCCGTAAGAGTCGACTAATTGGGAGCATCCTTCGAAGTCAGAGTGCATCTGCCTGAGAGGCAAGGAACCAGCAGTCTGCATACAAATGAGTCATATCTGTAAAACGGATGCACAAGCAACACTCCGGTTCTGGAACAGGGCTGCATTCCAAAAGTGGATGAACAACTAAAACTTTCCGCCAGAGTTTACAGCTGCTGAACATAAAGACGAAGAAGAAATTGAGCTTGTTGCCTTTTTTTTTAAACGGGCGTTACTAGAGCACCGACAGGACGGTCGGGGTACATAACAAAAACGGGACCGTACCGGTGAAAACCGGAGGGTGGTTATCCTAGTTATGGGGGCCTCGGTTATAAATAACTTCTAAGGATGAACAGAGCATCTAGGATTTGCCATGCTGATTTGTCATCCAGATAAAGATAGCGTAATCACAGGGCGTCAGACCTTTAGGCAGCAGACAGGAGGGGGAAAACGGAAGGAAAGAAAGTAACTCCCCCATTTCTCTCTCTCTCTCTCTCTCTCTCTCTCTCTCTCTCTCTTGAGCGCGGCGCGACGCTGGCTCACACATCTGTAGCTTTGGCGGGAACATCTGCTGCCAGACACACGAGCACACGCATACCAGGAAAGCGTAGGCTGTAGTCGAATGTAGGCTAGCTCAGGATGTTTGTGCTGACGAGAACTGGTACTAGCTTTTGGCAATGGCTGGCAGGGGAAAATGCACGCACAAAACATATTCATTTAATAGAATGACAGCGACATAAGAGGCAAAGTGATGGTGGGGGATAATTATCATTACCATAATCTAAATAGGGTGTTTTTAAAGTCACTCTAAACTTTGTTATGTAGAACAAATCTGGAAAATAAAGTGCATGACGTCATGAAAAAAATGTGGCCTACGAACAATCATGAAGCATTATGTAGTGAAGGCTGCCGTCTGCTGCAGTAATACTTTGTACTCAAAACAGAATGGTGTTATCAGTCAAAATTACCATTCAAGAAAAAACAACAGACACACTGTAAAAGGTATTCGATCATATGAAAAGACGTGCACAGTCAGGGTTTGAAGCCTGTAGTGGACATTTCGAAGACCTGTTATATGTGTAATGCTTATTTCATAAATACTTTCCAGCTTTCCAAAAACAGCGTTAGACTATTTTAATACCTTACACAAACAAACGAAGACATAATACTGTCATCCCCATGTGGGATGCAATTTTTAGTTATTTTGAAGCTCCAGCATGGTTTTTGCCGGGGGCCCTAAATACAGCCGGGCCTGAAATATGGTCTACCGGCTAAACGGGGTTTCCGAGACCTCTCCACGAGTGATCCTCATCCGCATGGTGGCACTTTGTGTCACCTGATGTTTATCGCTTGTGTGATGTAGTAGTAGTAGTAGTAGTAGTAGTAGTAGTAGTAGTAGTAGTAGTAGTAGTAGTAGTAGATTTTACCCCACTAGGACATCACACAAGTAACAAACCCCCGATGACATAATGAACCACCATGTGGATGAGGATCACCCGTGGATAGGTCTCAGAACGGCGTTTTTTTTTTTTTAACGGTTTACATGTTTTATTGTTGAACTAAATCAAACTATTTCGGCTCTACTGGCAAATCCGGACGAAGAATAAACAGCCTTGGACGACTTAGTGAGAGTTCTCTCCCGTCGCCGCACTCCAAACAGTGATCGGAAAATCCACAACGAAACAAAGAAGACAGTCACGTCGACATCAGGGCTGCCAATGCTTGGTTGTTTCCCCCAGATCTGGGTTTTTTTTTTCGACGCTGCAGGACAATTCTGGGTGTTTTTTTTTTTTTGGGTGTGTTTTGTTTGTTGGTGTTTGCCGATTTGTATGCTTTAATGATCGATAAATTGGCGTGGTTAGGGGGGTAGGGGTTAGGGTTAGGGTTAGGGTTAGGATTAGTATAGCGGTAGGGTTAGGATTAGCGTTAGATTTGACAATTTTGACGCCGGAGTTCCCTATAATCGCGCACAGTCCCATACACACAAACAAACAATCGAGGGCCTCTGGATGCTGGTCACACGCACAATTCGCCAACGATTGGGGGCACCAGCCGCACGCTATTGGCGTCATATTTGGC